AGCTACACCATGTCGACCCTAGGCGCCCCGCCCCGCCCGCCCCGCCCCGCCCCGCCCCGCCCCGCCCCGCCCCGGCCCGGACAAAGCCGGACTGCAAGCACTCGGCGCACCCCTCGGAAACTTTCCCTGCAGCCCTTTGTTTGCAAATCATAACGCTCTTCCGCTCAAGCATTCCGCCCTTTTCCTTTTATCGCGCGTGCGCTATTTCTTTTCCCTTTTTTGTGTTTTTCTTTATTTTCGTTGTTTTTCCTCCCACGGCCGTTGCGCGAGTCTCTATCACCGCCATTAACTAATTAGCGGTCCGAGCGGCCGCGACGCGCGACGGCCGAACGGCACACTGAGAGTCGTTTTCGCCGCTCTGTCTCTCTCGCACCTCCACGGGGCCCCCATGCGTGCGAGAGAGACAGAGCGGCGAAAACGGCTCTCGGAATCGGCCTACAGGGAAAACGAAAGCAAAAGCCTTGCCAACTGTCGATGCTTTCTCTCTTTCGGCCGTCGGACGGCGGTCTCGTCTCGCAGCCACACACCTACACTAACACTCTCTCGCTCACACACACACACACACACGCACACACGCGCGCGCGCTGACCCGGCGCACCGACGCCGCCAGGCAGTAAAAGAGGGCGTGGCCGCACAGACGGTGGGCCCCACGACGCCCCGCGAGGGGCTCCTGGACGCCGCTGGGGGCGACTCGCACGAGTGGCACGGCACGCTGAGGTCGTCATCGGGGAGCTGCGGAGGGCCCCGGCCCTGGGCCCCGGGGGGCGCACACCGCCGCGAGCCGGCCTGGATCGGGGCGCCCCGCGCGGCCAACGGCGGCAAGTGGCCGCTCACACACACACACACACACACACCTCTACACATACACCTTAACGAGTGGGATTATGGGGGCACGGTATTGCGCGCGCTGCCGGCGGCTTCAACTTTGCCCGGTGCTGCTGAGTCCGAGGGCCAGGCTGGGCCCGGCGTGGCTGAGCCTGGCCTGGCAGGGTTTGTCCAATTACAAGCCGCCAACAACTCCCCAACAATCACACATGATCGCGGAGCCGCCGAGGCCGGTTATGTTCCGGGCTGCGCGAGTGCGCCGTGCAGTTAATTTGGGTCAGGAACTCGCGGCCGCGGCTGCGCAGGCGTGGAAGACGGACGGGCACACTGACAGGCAAACCTGACTGACTCACAGACAGGTGGGCTGCCAGGACGCAGCGACTGGCGGTCACTGAACTGACTGCCTAAGAGACAACTCACTGGCAAACTGATTGACTGACTGGCTGACTGAGCCACCAACCGACTTACTGGACGCAGACACACAGACAGACAGACAGACAGACAGACAGACAGACAGACAGACAGACAGACAGACAGACAGACAGACAGACGGACAGACGGACAGACAGACAGACAGACAGACAGACAGACAGACAGACAGACAGACAGACAGACAGACAGACAGACAGACACACAGACAGACACACAGACACACACACACACACAGACGCACTAACAAACGGGGTGCTCTTCCGCGGCCCTCTGCCTGGCAGCCTGGCGGCCTCGCACCTTTGGGTCCGAATGGTGGCGGCACAACAACGGTCCGGTCCACTGGTTGATGAGGGGCGATGCTGGCTGGCCTGGCTGGCCCGGCCGTGCCTCACCTGCATACCGGGCGAGCGCCCCTCGCTCCCCTGCAGACCGCGGCCACCGCGGCCGCCGCAACGAATGGGGCGTCTTCTTGCGGTGGCGGTGGCCGGGGTGGAGGGTGGGGCAGGCCGGCAGCCTTTCGAGGCATTCCTCACATGAACCCGACGATAAATTCGACGTCGTCGAGGAGCCACTGCTATGCTGTTGGGGTTTGTTCTCAGCCAGACGCCGGCTGCGGCTGCTGCCGTTGTCGTCTCTCTCTCTCTCTCTCTCTCTCTCTCTCTCTCTCTCTCTCTCTCTCTCTCTCTCTCTCTGCTCCTTACGGACTCGCCTATGAGTGCGAGAGAGACAGAGCGCCAAAAGCGCAGTTCGACCAGCGTGCTGCACCGAGGTGGCGCGGGAGGGATGCTGCAAGATCCGGAAGAAACATTTTCAAACATTTGGGGATGGGCTGGGGGTAGTGTGCGTGCCGGCGGTGCCAGGTGTAAGACAAGGGGTGAGTTACTCGACGCCAAGTGCCGCAATTAGCCGTCTGGGGTTCCCCCCCCCTCCCCCTCCCCCATTACGAGAACCGCGGCGAGGCGCGGCGTGTCGCGGCGTCCATCACAATCCAATTACGCGTCCGGCATGATGGCGACAATTCCCTCTTAATTACGGTGCCGTGGCAGGCCGTGGCAGGGAAGGGTGTGGCCGCGCCGACGCCGCCTCGCGCCGCTGTCCGCGAATTACGTAACGCCGTCGTTTTGGTTGGGGAGCTGCAGCCGGGCGGGCCGCCCGGCAGGTAGGCCGTGTGGGAGCACGCCTGCGCGGCGGGCCGGCCCACCATTACCATTACCATTAAGGGCTAGACCACACATGATCGTATGCACGCTGTCTTCCTCGCACTCGAACGGGACGCTCCATGAGTGCGCGGGCGACCAAGCGACGAGAACGACTCTCAGTCTGCAGGCTGGGCAGGCTGGCGGTGGAGCGATGGCCGGGACGTGGCGGCGCGGACGTGGCAACACGGGGCAGGGTTCAATATTGAGTGCGGCGACCGCGCGCCGTCAGGCACCGCCCGGCACCGCCTCCACGCCGGAGATCTGGAGCGGCGTGAAATGTGCTACGGATGCGAACTGGGTCCAAACAGCCCGCTAGCTCCTCAACGCGATCCTGCCGTGGCGCGCCAGTTCCCCCTGCCTTCGGGGAGTCCCCGGCCAGGGCGGCCAGGCCAGGGCGGCAGCGGCAAAGTAAATCCACGAGGCCGTCCCCGCCACCCCGCCCCGCCGAGGGCAAGCCGAGGGCAAGCCGGGGGCAAGCCGAGGCCCCGAGGCAGCAGATCGAACGAACGGCGCGGAGTGCAGAGCTCATCACTTCCACTAATAATTACGCAAACTGTTGAGCCAGCCGCGGCCGCCGCGGCTGGCTCAGCCCGGCCGGGCTGCAGGCCGCCTCCGAACGCCACTCGCTCCGTCTCCCTCGCACCCGCACGGGCCCGCACGGGCCGCCCCATGGGTGTGAGAGAGACGGAGTCGGGAGTTGGCCCGTTGGTCCGCCCCGCGCCGCCCTCGGCGCCACCTCTGTTGGCGGGGGCCTCGGAGGGCGGAGGACCGCGGTACTTGGCCGTCATGCCGCCACCTGCCCGCCAGAGCGCCTGCTCTTCAAAGACTCGCCTCCCGGCGAATTGTCCCCCTTCCCTTCCGCCGAGGGGAGCCAGAAAAAACAGCGGGCTGCTGGCGTGCATAGTGTAGGGGCCAGTCACTCTGCGAGCGACTCTGGTAATGAGAGCTGGAAACGCCACTTCGTTACCGAGTCCAGCGAGCTGTGTTTGCGGGCTGCGAGCGTCCTTGCCCCCTCCCCCTCCCCTCCGCGTCTCGACGCATGTTGTGTTTATTTACCGCCTCGTCCGAAAGAACTGGGATTTCATATGAAAGTTGCATTATTAATCCACTGGACCGCCACGGCGGCCTCGGCGGGTAGCTGCATGTCCGCAGGGCTGTGCCCGCCGCGCCGGGCCGCTCGCCGTCGAGGTCCACAGAGAATCTGCAGCGCCGGCTCGCCGTGCTTTTCGTTTGTTTTTGTTTTTTTCGCAGTGCGCTGGGCTTTTAGTGAGTCGGTGCGCACACCGCGGCCGGGTGACACCTCCACGGGGATGAAAAATTCATCACCGAATCCCTCACTTACTCAATCCGAATACACTTCATCCCCCATCCCCCCCGCGCCTCGCCCCGCGCCTCACCCCGCGCTTCGCCCCGCGCTCGTCACGGCCGGCCTAGCAAAACGAGTTGAAAATGCGGGGGCCGGCCGACTGCCGAGCGATTCAGAAGATCGGTTTGTCCCTCTGTCTCTCTCGCACCCTTAGGGAGAGCCTCATGAGTGCGACAGAGCGGTGAAACGACTCTCGGCTGGCGTCCACAAACACCCTCATCACACACCTGCAATCAAGCGGCATTGGACGGGCCGTCCTCGGGGAGAGGAAGGGGTAGAGGACGGTGGAGGGGGCGGGGGTCGGCCCGGGTCAGCCCTCCGGGTGGACAGCGCCTCGGGCACCGAGTTGGGCACCACAGCAGGACCTTTCCTCTCTGGAATTAATCAGGCGCGTTCATTATGTGGGAGCACTTTTGTGTGATTTGGAAACGTGTCACTACTTTTTGTTTACTCAACTGATGCATCACTCCCACACACACGCGATGTGAGTTCCGCTTGCGGTGCCTCCTCATATTCTCACCTTCTTCCCTCGCCCCACGGGCCCCACGCGTTCACGCGATGCAAGCAGGGTGAAGCAGGGTGTTTGCTGTGTGTGCTTTTGGCAAGTTTTGATGTAAGCGTTCCCACCTCTGTCATGTTTGCTTGGCGCGCCGGCAGCTCAGCGCCGCGCCGTGCACGGTGGCGCCCCTCCCCCTCCCCTCCTCCCCCCGGCACGCCAACCGCGCCCCTGACTCGCCGCATAAAGCGAGACTTAGGCGCCGGCACGTTCGTCACAGTTCACGCGGATTTTTTTTTTTCGTGTTGAAATGGAAAAATCGAGCGCGCTACGACACTTGAATGCGACCGGTCGAGAGGCCTCTGACACAGGAAAGCCTGGTGGGCCATCCCCGAAAAACAAATGAAGCTGTACAACATCGAAGCAGCGAGCTTGAATTTGTTTTATAATCTTCTGGGAGCATGTTGTTTTTTCCGAAGGGGTTCCTTTAATACGGTTTGAACGTGAATTAAGTTCATGGGGGGCTTAAACCGCTGGAAGCAACACTTCCTTGTGACCTGGATGAGGCGTGAGGTGCGATGAGGACGTAAACGTGAGGCAACGGTTTGCGAGCTCTAAAGCTTGATCAAATTGATGGCGACGAAATTGATGTCATACACACCATTTGGGTTTTATGTTGCAGTTGGTGTGGGCGGAAGAACTCCATGCGTGGCGGCGTGTCACAATGGGCTGACTATACTACTGTACCTCTCCTGCAAAGAAAAGTGACGATGAGGTGTTTATACTACTGTTGCGTCTCCAGGGAAGAAAGGTGACAATATTGTTGCGTCTTCGGGAAGTCGGGTGACTCCAACCAGAGAAGTGCGGCTTTCGGCACGCTGGGGTATCCGCGCCCCGCGTCCCTTGCGACCGCAAGGCCCTCGCTGGCGTCAACGTCAGCGGAATGCTTTAAGTTAACAAGGAAACGCTTTTAGCTGCAATGACTCTAACCACCGCTTGGATAATGAATGAGTTTCCCGCGGAAATCCTCGTCCGGTTTGGCGGGGTGTCGATGTGTGACCAGGTCCCGCGCCCCCAGGGCCTGCGGCGGGGTTGGCCCGGCAGGGACTTCAAAAACAGAGGGGCGCGCTCTCGCCGACGGCCTGTTTACTAGAAACGCGTCTGCCTCTGAGCCTCCAAGAGGGAATATTTAATTTTCGGCCGCAAAATGGCAACTCTTTGCTCTCGCCACACAGTCAGGAAAAGCTCACACACGAACGAGCATTGGTCAGCGGTTTAATCAGCTGGCTACGATGGGGCCCTCTTTGCTGCCTGTACAGTGGTGTGGTTCTACGACGCGCTTGGAATTGTATCGCTGAGCCCTCGAGCCTTGTAAACCGCAAACGGCCTGGCGAGGGCTTGTGGCAAGTGTCTCACCTCGCGCAGTCGCCGCGTGATTCCGTGACTGCAATTTGGAGCTCGTTGGCGGCAAGAGAAAGAAAGCGCCATTGCGCGCCGCGAATCTCGGCTCCGAGGAATAGCAGGGCCCAACCGTGTCCTGCAGGTTCAGGGGGCGTGGCTAGCGCTGCCTGGCTGGGCGCTCCGGAGGAGGAGCCTGAAGGGGGCACGGGTACGCGGGGGCTCGGCGGGGGGCAGCGGCGGGGGCAGGGTGCGCCAGGGGGCGGAGCCAAAGGGCACGCTTGGCCCCCGCGCCGCCCCCGCACCGGACCGCCCCCAGCACGGGGTAACGACGCGCTTCTTTTCCGGTTCCGGTGCTCCGCCTTGTAAAATCATTAGCGATTCCGGTTCCGGTTCCCCATTCACCGCGTCGCGGGGCCTGGAGGTCAAGGTCCGCGTAGTACTTGGGGCCTCGAGGGTCGACGACCGGCCGGTGTCAGGTGGTAAGTAGGGGTGGTGGTGGGGGGGAGGGGAGGTTTCGTGCAAGGGCCCAGGATCGCTTTGCAACTTTTCTTTCTGGTTTATTTCATCTTAAGCAGAATAATTAATTGGTAAGTATGCAGATGTGCCGACCTACTATCTCACGCCGTCCTTCCTTCCCTTTCAGTGACTGCTTCGCGACGGTGTCATGGACAACGCCTTGTCACATGTCGCGTGAATTAACTGACAACCGACGGCAGGATGGGGGAAAGGGGGCAGTGGGGTCGTATGTGGACGAAGTGTCAAGTGGTGTGGGGCCGCGTGAGTATAATGCCAGCATGATCCCTTTCTCTGATTGCATCGAACACTGGCATAGTGGATAGACGTTTCTGTTACCACCCCCTTTCTTGCAGAAAATAGACGCTTGCCTGACATCCTTCCTACGGCCGCGTTTGCCTGGAGTTTGCGGGTAAAAAAAGATCGAACAAACAAAGCAAACCGTTAATCGAGGTTTGCTCTGTTTGTTCGGCTGGCATTTTGTTAAATTTGGCAAGTATCTGATCGGTACCATCATCAAAGGGCAGTTTGTTCCCCTTTCCCACAGTTGAGGAGTCAAGTAACAAAATATTGGAGGGCGGCTTCTCTGACACCCCCTTTCATTCATATTTTGTTTAGAATTGTACAACGCCAAATTAAACTTTATGCTTGAATCTACATCTAAATGCCTGAGTTGTGTGTGTTGCGATTCATCGCAGCGAGCGGTGCCGTGTCGCCCTCTAGCGGTGGCTTCCTGCAGCTCTCTGCGCGGGGTATAGCCGGCATGCGCTGAGCTCCCTATCGCAGAGGAGTAACAGGTCTTTCGTGCTGGAAGAAAATTTGCGTAAATATCTGAGTATGGACGGAAATTTATTTCGATTTTGTTCTTGAACCAGAGTACAGATAATACAGACTGCCTATCAAAACCTAGCAAAAAGCAGAATGCTTACGTCACTGTTTCAATGAAAATAAACGTGTCATGTTTGCGATAATAATGCGATAATAATTGCGATAATAATTCCCTTGTTTCGGTTGTTTGGCTGAAAAAATATTGCGATTGTTTGCAATTTCCTCGGTGGGCCGCTCACCCCCACACGCGCACGTTGTTGTCCCAGGACGCGCTGCACAGCGCCATGCCGTTCTGGGACATGCTGATGGACGTGATGCGGTTCTCGTGGCCGGTCAGTTGCCCTGCGCGCCAACGGAAAGGGTTTTGGTTAAGTCTGTTGCTGATGTGCTCCTGACTGTGATGGCCTTTGTATTCTGCTAAGAGCTTCTCTACAATAAATTACGATAACAGTTTGAGGTGGCCGCACAGCTGCAGAGGATGCTCACCGTTGTGCTGCACCTTGAGGGTGTCCCAGATGTGGACGCTGTTGTCGTCGGAGCCGCACATGATGAACCTCCCCGAGCTGGACAGCGCGCACGACGTGAAGCCCGAGTTGCCGTTGGGCGGCGCGTACTGCGCCACCTGCTGGTCGGAGCGCAGGTCGTAGAGCCGGGCGGTCTTGTCCTCGGAGCCCGTCCCGAACGCCTGGCCGCTCGGGTGAAACTAGAAGACGAACCGCCGGGGAATCAGGTTGTGGGTTCAAAGACCGACCCAAGTTTGGTTTTCGTGTCACTGCGCCTACTCACACACACGCAGTTCACATCAGCCGTGTGGCCGAAGAAGACCTGCTTGCAGTCCTTGCTGCGCGTGTCCCACAGTTTGCAGCTCTGGTCCACGCTCCCCGTCACGTACGTGTTGCTGTCCGGTGCCAGTGACATGGACACCACGTCGCCGTTGTGGCCCTCGAAGTCCATGATCTTGGCGTTCTTCTCCAAGTCCCAGTGGGTGCTGCGGGCATTCGTCCATGTCACTTACCTGCAACGCAGTGACGTGAAAATCACGGCTCTCGCGAAGCGGCTTGCTCACATTTTCATGTCACCGGAGCCCGTGATGAGGTGGTTGTCGTCAACGAAGCGGCAGGAAGACAGGAAGCCCTCGTACCCCATGAGCTCGCGGGTGATCTTGGCGGCGCCGGTGGCGTCCCTGTTGTTGACGTCGTACACGGTGCACATGTTGTCCATGCCTCCACAAGCTGCAAAGGCATAGGCACCGTTACAGCGACAGAAAGGTTAGGTTAGAACATGGCGTCTGTCAGGGTGCTCATCTGACCGACAAAGTTCCCCGACGGCGAGAAGGCGACGGACATGACCCAGGAGGAGCGCAGCGGGATGACCTGGATCTTGTTGCCCGTCCACGTGTCCCAGATTATGAGTTTGCCGTCCAGCGACCCCGAGACCGCGTGCCTGCCACAAATCAGCAACGGTATTAACGACAGGCATTCAGCAACTGAACTCTCTAGTCCACAAGTTGTGACAGCGATTCTAATCGTAAAAACTAATCGCAGGAGTTAACACAGGTACCTGCAGAGGAAAGGTTGCTGAAGGAATTCTTCCTAAATTTGCAAAGTTTTCACGTTAATTCATGAAGATTCCTCATAAACATTCACGAAGATTCTCCTTAAATTTACAAAGGAACCTTTGGGAAAAGAAATCCTAGGAGAACCTTTGTAAACTTGCTATTTTTTCTCACAGTGTTCCAGTGTACCTGTTGTCGCCGCTGTAGTGCACCGAGTTGACCTTGTTGATGTGGCCCTTGAGGTTCTTCCGGGTGATCATGCGCACCTTGGGGGCGTCCGCCACGGAGGCGCACGCGTCCGCGAAGGTCGTGTCGGCCACCTTCTTCTGCTCGTCCTGCAAGCGCGATTAGCTTATTATTTGTACTACGCTGGATGATGTGGGTCATGCCGTGCACGGCGTGGCGACAGGGGAGGGGGCGGGCCTGACGGGGGCCTCGGCCACCTCAGGGGCTTCCCTTGACGGCAGTTGCGGGGCGTCGCCAGGCCGGCAGTGCCTGTGGCAGTGCCCCCGCCCGTCCGGCCGGGCCCCGTCCCCGCAACCCCAACAGGTAGGCCGGATCAGGATAGGCAGCGCCTGCAGGGCCTGCTCGGCCTGCTCGGCGGAAGGCGCCCAGCAAAAGGGAGTCATCGAGTAAAATGCGGGGATTTGACCCTTTCGCCGAGGCTAGTCGAGCGGTCAGGAAAGGAAACGAACAAGGAAACGCATTACGTCTCCCTTCCTATAGACTATACAAAAATACAGTTTTCTCACAACGCCCAGACCGACGACAGTTGCGACACGAAACAGTGATCCGTTTTGAATTCATGCGGGCGTATCCTGAAGAGAGCTCAGCTAGAACTTACAGTGTCGTAGTCCATTGTTGATACATAAGATGCATAAGTGACATACGTCACCAATTGCTACCCAGTAAATATCTGTGGTCTGCCTTTTCTACGTTTTCTTGTTGAACCGGAACAAATGCAAGCTCAAATCAGCTCTTTTCTATTTTTCCTGTTTCTGCAGATTAGGCGTTTCTTACCTTGATCTTGTTCATGAGGTCCTCGAGCTCCTTGCGGAGCTTGGCCGTCTCGGGGTCGTCCTTGGGCGGCATGACGGCGCTTCACGTGTGGGCAGTCTCGACGAAACCAGGACCTAGACCATCAGCTGCCGGACGGGGGCCGCTGCGTGTCCACCGGGCGGGGTCTCCACTGACTGTGTTAGGTGTCGCCCCAAGGGCTGTGCGCCGTGCCATGGCCTACCCTCTCCCTTCAGGCTTCGGGCCACCTAGTCCTCGGCTTGTCCGCTTGCTCGTCCCACACCCCGTCCCGGGCCGGGCCGGGCCGAGCCGAGCCTGGCCTCCGCCTTCGGTGCGCTTGTTCAACACGACAAGCGGATAATTTGTACACCAGTCGGTCCAATGCGCCAGCGCCTCGAAAGACCGAGATACCAACCAGCGGTCGGCCAAAATGCAGGGAACTATTGGCAGCCCAAGGCAATGGCGAAACCACGAGAAGGACTTGTCGGATACGTCCGTCTCTCCTCGTGGGGGAACGCCCGGGATGCTTCGCAGTTCAGCTTCTGTCGGGAGTCTATATCGTTTTGACTTTTGGCGGGCTGAATCGGGGTGTCTATCAGTTGACCTACCCAAAAGTTGACCTACCCATATTTATATTGATAAAAATATAATATAAATATAATATAAATATATAATATAAATATCTTCAGAAACTCTGTTTTAGTTGACCTACCCAAAAGTTGACCTACCCATATTTATATTGATAAAAATATAATATAAATATTGGCTTGAAAAATCTTTAGAAACACTGCTGTAGTTGACCTACCTAAAAGTTGACCTACCCATATTTATATTATATTTTTATTGATATTTTTATTGGTTCCCAAAATATACTCGCATCCGTCCCATTTCAGTTGACCTACTCAAAAGTTGACCTACCCAATATAAATATTGAATAAAAATATTGTATAAAAATATTGAATAAAAATATTGGAGGTCCTGTGGCAGCCAGCCTCCGGCCCGGAGGCAGATGGTGAATCTCAGGTGGGAAGGCCCACCCAGATGGCAACGCCCCCGCCGCGGCCCGGCGCACTGAGCGCCTGAGAGGTAGGCCTGCCGCAAGGCCACCAGCGACGAGGACGTGTTCGGCGACCTTCACCCTGGCGCGGCACGGGCGCGATTGCCAGGCGCTCTCAGTGGTGGCCAATATGGCCGCGCTACAGGAAGGGGGGCCGTCGCGGACCTCTGCAGGGACCCACACGGTGACCCACCGCACCACGCCGTGCTCGATGAGCTGGCCAAGGCCGTGTCCCTGGTGAGGAGCCGTCGTGCCTCTGCAGGGCCGCGCCACGCTGCGCGCGCCGCCCGAGGCAGGAGCAGCGAAGGCCGTGGTCTCGTAGAGGCATCGTGGGGACGAGTGGGACGTTGACGTGGACCTCGGGGGCGCTCCCCCAGGTCGGCATGGAGGCCGTGGCCCGAGTGGGACGTCGACGGGGACCCCGAAGGCGCTCCCCCTGGTCGGCATGGAGGCCGTGGCCCGAGTGGGACGTCGACGGGGACCCCGGAGGCGCTCCCCCTGGTCGGCATGGAGGCCGTGGCCCGAGTGGGACGTCGACGGGGACCCCGGAGGCGCTCCCCCTGGTCGGCACCTTGGTTAACCGTCACCATTGCTCATCGCCCGCAACATCGTGCAGGCCCTCCAAAGGAACGTCGTCGAGATGGCCCTCGACGCAGGTACCCACAAAACGGAAATGTTAAGTAGTGAAATTGTGTAATACTGTGTGTGATTCGCGTGGGAGGCCCATGGGACAGCATACAACACAACTTAATCGTCGCCAAGGCCATGCCTCGTGAGCCCATCTTCGCGCAAAGGGGAAGCACCAAAGCGCATGGTTGCATGGCTGCATCGGCCAGGCGCCAGGCTCTGTTAGCGTGCCAACCAATCCTGTACGTCTTTGTGGGTACATCGATATCACCAAAATGAACCTTGATGCGGTATCGTTGCTGGGTACTCCTTCCCTTTCGCACCGCGTTCGAGCCCCTCGGGGTGGGCCAGGCTCGGCCGGTTCTGCAGAGCGATTCCGCACTGACATCACCACGGCTAGCCCTTCCTAACCAACCCCCTTCCTTCCCCCCTCTCCACCCGTTCACCCTTTCAGTGGGCCCTGTAGCCCTCGTGATTTTTGGGTGAAATCGATCTGCAGCGCCTAAAAGACTCGCGGTGCGTGAGATGTGGATAGAGTCCAGGTGAGTTAACGTATCGTGTCTTTTGCGACGCTTCTCCGCCGACCGCACCACACACCCCATCCGCCTGCCTGCTTGCGTCCGCACCGCCTTACAGTCTCGCCACTTTTTCTCGCTTTCGACTGCACTCGACTGCAACCATGCGCTTTGGTGCTTCCCCTTTGCGCGAAGATGGGCTCACGAGGCATGGCCTTGGCGACGATTAAGTTGTGTTGTATGCTGTCCCATGGGCCTCCCACGCGAATCACACACAGTATTACACAATTTCACTACTTAACATTTCCGTTTCGTGGGTACCTGCGTCGAGGGCCATCTCGACGACGTTCCTTTGGAGGGCCTGCACGATGTAACGGGCGATGAGCAATGGTGACGGTTAACCAAGGTGCCGACCAGGGGGAGCGCCTCCGGGGTGCCCGTCGACGTCCCACTCGGGCCACGGCCTCCATGCCGACCAGGGGGAGCGCCTCCAGGGTGCCCGTCGACGTCCCACTCGGGCCACGGCCTCCATGCCGACCAGGGGGAGCGCCTCCGGGGTCCCCGTCGACGTCCCACTCGGGCCACGGCCTCCATGCCGACCAGGGGGAGCGCCTCCAGGGTGCCCGTCGACGTCCCACTCGGGCCACGGCCTCCATGCCGACCAGGGGGAGCGCCTCCGGGGTCCCCGTCGACGTCCCACTCGGGCCACGGCCTCCATGCCGACCAGGGGGAGCGCCTCCGGGGTCCCCGTCGACGTCCCACTCGGGCCACGGCCTCCATGCCGACCAGGGGGAGCGCCTCCGGGGTCCCCGTCGACGTCCCACTCGGGCCACGGCCTCCATGCCGACCAGGGGGAGCGCCTCCAGGGTGCCCGTCGACGTCCCACTCGGGCCACGGCCTCCATGCCGACCAGGGGGAGCGCCTCCGGGGTCCCCGTCGACGTCCCACTCGGGCCACGGCCTCCATGCCGACCAGGGGGAGCGCCTCCGGGGTCCCCGTCGACGTCCCACTCGGGCCACGGCCTCCATGCCGACCAGGGGGAGCGCCTTCGGGGTCCCCGTCGACGTCCCACTCGGGCCACGGCCTCCATGCCGACCTGGGGGAGCGCCCCCGAGGTCCACGTCAACGTCCCACTCGTCCCCACGATGCCTCTACGAGACCACGGCCTTCGCTGCTCCTGCCTCGGGCGGCGCGCGCAGCGTGGCGCGGCCCTGCAGAGGCACGACGGCTCCTCACCAGGGACACGGCCTTGGCCAGCTCATCGAGCACGGCGTGGTGCGGTGGGTCACCGTGTGGGTCCCTGCAGAGGTCCGCGACGGCCCCCCTTCCTGTAGCGCGGCCATATTGGCCACCACTGAGAGCGCCTGGCAATCGCGCCCGTGCCGCGCCAGGGTGAAGGTCGCCGAACACGTCCTCGTCGCTGGTGGCCTTGCGGCAGGCCTACCTCTCAGGCGCTCAGTGCGCCGGGCCGCGGCGGGGGCGTTGCCATCTGGGTGGGCCTTCCCACCTGAGATTCACCATCTGCCTCCGGGCCGGAGGCTGGCTGCCACAGGACCTCCAATATTTTTATTCAATATTTTTATACAATATTTTTATTCAATATTTATATTGGGTAGGTCAACTTTTGAGTAGGTCAACTGAAATGGGACGGATGCGAGTATATTTTGGGAACCAATAAAAATATCAATAAAAATATAATATAAATATGGGTAGGTCAACTTTTAGGTAGGTCAACTACAGCAGTGTTTCTAAAGATTTTTCAAGCCAATATTTATATTATATTTTTATCAATATAAATATGGGTAGGTCAACTTTTGGGTAGGTCAACTAAAACAGAGTTTCTGAAGATATTTATATTATATATTTATATTATATTTATATTATATTTTTATCAATATAAATATGGGTAGGTCAACTTTTGGGTAGGTCAACTGATGCACCCCGCTGAATCGCGGTGCTGGAATTAACGGTCGATTTTTTTTACGTGTAGCCGAGAGGCTGGTCGCGAAAGTAGTAGGCGAAGCGAGCCAGGCGACGGCGATACTCCCGCCGCGCCAGCGTCGATACTCCCGCCGACAGGGCCACCACCGGCAGCAGCGATACCCCGCGGCGATACCCCTTGCAGCGCGGCGCCACGCGCCCGAGGCGCTGCCCCGCGGCGGAGGGGAGAGGCAGGCTGGCCGTCGGGCCCCGGGCACCGCGCCGGGCACTGTCGCACTGTCACGGGGTCATGGTTATCTCCGCTTCCGGGACAATACAATGAGGGGCGGGGGGAGGGGGTAAAGGATTTACCGAGCGGTGCAAGGCAGGCGCCCGCAAGACACGCACACACTCAGGATGTCGTCCTGCCTGGAGTCCTGCCTGGCGTGACGTCGCCATCCTGGAGTTCCGTCATCGCCACGCTCGGTTCGCTCGGTCCCACGGACGCGCACTTAGGCCCCGTGGATCGGATGTGAGGAATGTACTGAGCGTCCGCCCGCCGCTCCGTCCGTCCGTCCGCCTGTCCGTCCGTTCTCACTGATTTATGTCGGGGACGTGACCCGCGCGAGTGTGTCTGTCTCGTGCTTTACTCTCCACAAAGGTGGCCATGATAATGGTCTTCTAGGGCAATGACCGTCCGTGCGCGGCTCCGCGGCCACAGGCAGCCAGACGCATCGCATCACACATCGCGTCCGCCGAGTAGAGGCTTTTGGCTTTTTCGGGCCCCGGCCAGCCCTGGCACGGCTATGGCCACCGCAGCGCGGTCCCTCTTCGTCGGTCCGTCGGAGTTCGAACGGAAATCGGAATGGCTTATTTGCGGGAGGGAAGGCAAGAATGTGGAGTGCGGTACCTCTTCTTCCTCTGGCATTCCTTCTCCTCGGCCGCCTCGGCGTGGTGCGGCGCTGCGCTCGGCGGCGACCTCCCCACCGCACCGCCCGGCCGCCCGGCCGCGCCGTGCCGCGCCGTGCCGCGCCGTGCCGTCCGGCTCCACAGTGCACGGCCGCGCTGTGCCGCGCTGGGATGGCCTCGCCGTCGGACCGTTACGGGCTTAAATTCTTGTTGAGCGATTTCACTGCGCGGGGCGCCGCGTGCATCTTTTGACGCTCGCCGCCGTTGC